TTTATCAAACTGTTCCGAAACTTCTCTCCGTTTTTTCGACCTACCATAAAAACACGTGAAATAGAGGCATGCAAACGTTTTAAAATTACTTGTCGCAGCTTTCTTCTTTTTAGCAGTCATGGTTCTGTTCTGGTTACTCTTGGGGTTACCGCAGTAGTCGCCGAAATTTCGAATTCATGGTTTCTACCAAATCCGAATTTGGCAATTTTAATCATGTTTTGAACCCTTGAAAAGGCTGATTAGAAAGACAGCGTTAATAAAGTACAAAGCAATGCAGTTTTTGGCATTTTCAGCTTGCTTCTCAATATTCTTTGGAATAACTTTTCTGAAAGTCTTTACTTTTGCGGGGTCGCAAAATACCAATACGATCCATACTTTAACGAATCTTTGATATTGAACCTTTCAAAAATCGATTATAATTATAACTAACTCTGCAAAGCAATAAAGGTTTACCGCTCTAAACATCAAACTTCGATTATGATAATTTATCGCCAAAGACTTTACGAATTGAAAGGAAAAAATGCCTATTAGAAAGAAGAGGAAAAGCTACATCGATAGACACCTTTTGTGCCCTGTTTGATATTTTATGAGTTTTGGGATGACCAAGATTGAACGCCAAAAATATAATTTTGAAAATTTTGTGAAGCCAGCTACAGCCAGAAATTGTCACTGCATTGCACTTTTTCCGCTGACTGTTATCAAAGCTTTCTCCAAAGTTCGAAAGCAAATGCCGAAAAAATACGAAAACTTGACAAAGTTTAAGAACGGAAATATCTTTCGGAACCTTCCTAGTATTTGCGCAACACTTTCCTATACGTTCTTGGGGCGAAAATTCAGAGGGGCTTTTTTTCGAAATGGTCTACAGTGTACTAGAATGGAGTATGTACGACACAACATTCTTGCAACGAGCATTCTTCCCTCAACTCGTTCATATTCATCACTGCTTTTTCTGAGCGCGGAATGTCGTTTGAGCGGTTTTATTTCAGCCCGCTTCAAAACTTCTGCCTCCACAAATGCTCTGGCCTCGAACAGAGTTCACGCGATTTGATCGTCGCGATTCAATCGCTACTAGACAACTGTTACGAGTTCATTGCATGCCGATCAGCTTGCATTTCGGTTGTGATACTTTCCCAGCTCGAAATTTTTGAATGAAAAATGAAAATGAATGAAAATTGCGACGATCAAATCGCGTGAATTCTGTCCGAGGCCTAAAAAGCGCCATGATTGACACCAAGCTGCACTTGAAATGTTTGCTCAATGTCCTGGTAATAACGCCTAGCCATGATGTCTTTCTTTTCCGTAACACTACCAATCCTTCTCTTGCATTAGAGGAGGCTGCGATTTGGCGAATTGTCTTTATTTACAAAGCAGTGCAACGAAAATCCGGCTGCTATATAAATAGAGCTTTGCGATGAATGTAGATTTCAAAGATAAAACCCTGAATATGGATGGCCTCTTTGTACTTTGAGGTGTACTGACATCAAAATCAAGACGAGCATACTCTTGGTAGCTCACGAACTACCATCAAACAGGAACTGCACAAATAAAATGTGCTTCATGTATCAATAATTAGTTTAAGCGAATCGCTGAACCTATTTTCTCCAAAGACTTTGAAGCGCAGTCTATTAGAGATTTTGCGATCCTGTAAAATCCAGAAAAATCTAATTTTCTAGACCCTCGGATGATGGCTGCATTACGGGTCTGGTTGGAGAAGCCAGCACAGATTACCGTCATTTTTTCATGCAATTCCGATAAGGTTGGCATCTGCTGGATTTATTTTCATCACTGCACCTTATTCTTTGCAAGAATCTATATTCAAAATTTCACCACGAAATTTTTGCTACGGTGAAATTTCCCTACACGATTTTTAGGTTTGTCAGCTATCTTCAACACTTCAGTCGCTTGTTCTCTATGATTTCATGATAGAGCATCTTGACGAAGACGCACGTCTAATCTTTTTATCGTCTTGGCTGACATTTGAATTGGCCACCTATGCAGCGAGAAATACGGCGGTATAGTTTCCATGATGATTATTATGTCAGATCCTTTGTGCACCAGCATGATTCGTCTTCTTGTGATTCGATGTATTTTAGGGTTTCGTGATTGCAGAGCTCATTAATCTAATTAGGGATGTACACTTCCGGATAACGACGCAAAAGGTCGATCGCCCAGAAATCAGCCATGTAGAATGGGCGATTGACAAGCGAAATGCAAGTTTTGCAGATGCTATAGGCGCTCCAAAGGTTTGTTAAATATATTCCCTTGTGCATCTTCATTAGAAAGTGGAAACATCTGATACAGATTCCCAGCGTTTCTTGGGATGATGTTGGAGGTCTCGAAGAAACGAAGCGTACAGTGATTGAAAGTATTGAATCAAACTTGCATGGCACTGGACTCAAAAGATCAGGAGTAATTTTCTTTGGACCTCCAGGCTGTGGAAAGACACTCATTGCTAAAGGTGGGAGATGCTCATGGAGTCAGCTGCGTAAAATCGCCGTTTCCAGCCGTGGCAACCGAGTTCAAAATTGCTTTCTTGAACGTCAAAGGACCAGAATTGCTGAATAAGTATGTCGGCCAAAGTGAAGAAAATCTGCGAAAAGGTAGATAATGGAAATACCAGCTATCCAAACAATTCAGCCATTTCTCTTTCAAGTTTTTGAAAGAGCTCGGCAAGCATCACCCTGCGTGATATTTTTTGATGAGCTGGATTCTCTGGCGCCAAGTCGAGGACGAAGTGGAGATTCCGGGGGCGTTGCTGACAGGTGAGCTACAGTTTTTATAATATTTGTTGGCTGAAGAAGACTAATTTTGTTATGCATAGTCCTTAGGGGAGAGTGGGGGGGGGGGGGGGTTGGGGGAAGGAATAATAAATCGGTCATGAACGTAGATTTTCAAGCAACAAAAATACTCACTTGTCTGATATGGCCCCGGCTGTTTGATATGAAAGTCTCTTTAGAGGAATGAGGAAAGCGAATAAGATGATTAAATTATCCAATGAATGGCTATCAATCCCAACAGCTTTTCTAAGTTTTAACTGCCGTATTCACAATTAGTTTTGTAGAGATTCATATTTCTGCTGATCCCTTCGCTACTGAAATATTTCTAGTGTTTGAAATCTCTGTATAGTATTTAGCTCGTTACAGGATAGTTTCACAACTATTGGCAGAACTCGATAGCCTTCATCAATCGCCCCATATCAAGGTGTTCGTCATGGCCGCTACCAACAGAGCAGATTTGTTGGATCCAGCATTGCTAACTCCGGGAAGGTACCAGCGGGCATTTATGAGTATGTGCATTCGCTGAACACATTTTTTTTTGAAGATTTGATAAAATCATCGAGGTCAAGCCTGGAACAGATCTGGAGTCAAAAGTGAAAATCTTGGAAGCGGTAACGCGGAAGTTACATTTGGCTAAGGACGTGGACTTGCATGCTGTGGTAAGACATTTTCGAATGTATTGTGCACCTAAGAAAGTTCTGTTGAATTGAAGTTCTGCTTAGGCTGAAAAGTGTGGTGAGATAGCGACGGGAGCTGAGATGTATGGGCTTGTGTCAGCAGTCGTACTTGAGGCAATACGTGAGCAGGTGAGACGATTTTTGTCATGGATTTAGCAGACTGCTATGGTCCTAAATTTTTAGAAAAGGCAGATATTAGATTGGTTGACCTCACAAACTTACAAGTCTTCGAATGGAAGACTTTTGAACGTTTAGAAAGTTTACAGTTGTGTAGTTTTGACGGTCAGTATAATGTCCTGAGGGTTACGTCAATATTTCCGAGATTTTTCTCGCCGATGAATTGCGCGACTTATACTTCAAAAATGACCACAGAGCGCGCATTTGTTTACGCGCCCCTATGGTCGGCTAAACCATAGTAAGCCTACCATCTACCAGGTTATACGCATCAATATATTCATATCGTTCGGTTAGTGGCATTTATAAGTGCTTTAGCGTAAGGAGGTTAGGAAAGAAATTTTTGAATGAAGCAAAATTACAAATTCAACAAATCGATCAATTAGTGTCATAAACTTACTATAATCTGTGATGCTATAGAGGCTATAACAGAATTACCATTTCACACGACAACATTGCAGATTCATCTTATCGAAGCTGGTCATGCTGTGCCTTCTCATATGAAAGGAATCGTTACTCAGGCTCATTTCGAAGCAGCTCTAGAGAAGAAAAGATTGGAAAAGAGACCTACAATCAAATCAGCTTCTTATGCCTACTAGAAACGATTTCTCATGCATGTCCTTGCTTTACATTTTTTCTCCGAAACGGGTAAATCTTCTGATGCTGCTTACTTGATCTAATTGAATTTACTAGCCAAATGTTGAGACGCTAACAAAGTTGTTTGCAGCGGGAGAGAATTGAAAGTAATAAAAGATGGCTGGAAGAACAAATCCTTGATAAACAAGTTCGAAATGGTCATAATATAGGAAATATTCTAGATGGGTGGAGGTTTACAGGTCGTTAGGGCGACCTATACCAAGGTTGCTTATATCGCAAAGCACTTGTGAAACATTATGGAAGAACGAAAAATCTATGAATGTAATGTATAAGAGATGGTATGGAATTCACATCACTTCTTCTATATGTATTCTGAAATTACAAAAGATTCGCAGCGAGCAGGATTCGAACCTACGCGGGCAGAGCCCAATTGATTTCTAGTCAATCTCCTTAACCACTCGGACATCGCTGCATGAAAACTGTGATTTCATAGTATTCTACCAATCGGGATTTGTGTGTAATATTATATCAATGAACGGTTCATGAGACTTCTGTTGAACACCTAAATATACCCGGAAAACTCCAATATTGCCGCCAAGTTTCACTTTAAAAAAAAAATTCCATTCAAAATGTGTACGAATTCGCTCAACAATATGCGAGATTCCTGAAATATAGCACTATTTATTCTTGACTTAAAACCGGCAACATCCAAAGGTAAATGACGCAGATATCAAATGCATTTGATTTCGTTTGTTATTTTGCTTTTTTGAATAAAACAATGACTATCGGTCTTCCGAAATTGATCCCGTACGCCTTTTTCTTGCCATTGGTGGCTAAAAAGATGTAGCAGTTGCCTGTTTTAAAAGCACTGAACTCAAGAAATCTTATACGTTCTTACCAGCTTATGCATTTCCTTCGGTCTATAATTAACGTATATGTAATAGAGCCCGATGAAGTATATAGTTATGAACGCATACATAATTGACGCTATAACAAACAATGACCCAAAAATCTACACCAAATCACAAACCTTACCAAATATCGGTTGCGTCTCATAATAAAGTTGATCGGTAGCCCACACATGTTCTGATGCCTGGTACATTTCCTTGTATACTAGCCCCAGGTACCCTAAATACCGTTGAAGTTCTCACACATTAATTCAAATGCTAATGTGCACTCTTTTAGCTTATCAGTTTGGCAACCAATTATATCTTTTTTCTGCTCTACAATATTCTAGTGTAAGGAAGAAGGACCGTTTTGATCTAATAGGTGATCCGATATTGTGATCTGCGCGCGCCAAAGCGCTTGTTGATTGTTTTGTTTTCGTTCGTGATTATTGCCGATATTATTGACGACGAGGAGCGGCGGTGGCCGCATTGTTATTTTCTTTTAATTCTGTTCTTTCTCTTCGTGAGTCTTTTCTTGTACTGCCCACAAGGCAGGCTTCTGCTTTTCCAGTGTTCTTTTTTTTTCCCGTTAGTAAAGTTTTCGTTATTCTTCTGTCGCAAATCCTTCTACTCACGTGGCCCGCCACCCAAATTCTATTTTTACATGGGGGCCGAACAAATTTGAACACGGGAAACAATTTTTTTTTGCAAAACTTCTTGTCGGGGGAAATTTTGCATCGTTGTGGCGTGGACTACTGGGCCAATTATTGTGCTGGTCGATCCACAGGTCATCTGTGGAAGACCATTGAGCACATACGGGTACAAGAGCCTCTGGTCGAGGTGGTACCTGGAAATCACCGTGAGGTGAGGTGCCGGTTGGATCCACAGTTGTCTGTGGAACACCGTAAGGCACACTCAGGTACGAGAACCTCTGGACGAGGGGGTACCTACACACCACCGTGGGTGGGAAGGACTTGCTAGAAGCAAGAACCTTCATTGAGTGAAGCAGGAAGCTGCCGTGAAGCCCTGCTCGATCGATTGATAACGGAAAAGGCTGATTCTTTTCTGTTTCAGAGCATGGCGGAATCCATGGATGAAGAAATGGAGGCCATGATCCTCATGGACGAGGAGGGCAAGCGCATTGAAGATCTTCAAGCGCAAATTGCCGGATTGACGCAGCAAGTGCGTCAACTAGTGGAAAAGCAGTCTCAGGTATGCGTTGTACCTGTCAAAATGGGAGAATACTTAGCAGAAATTCGCAGCCTTGTGAATAAGGGTAAGCGAAAAGGCGAAGCTAGGAAAAGCCCTAGAAGCACTAGCGCCGATTGTCTGCAAATAGATAACGCCTGTGAGGGACTGCAAGTAGAAATTAGAAAAATTGAGCAGCTGTTTGAAGAAATAAATAAGCTCAAAAATGTGGCCGTGGATCAACTAGAAAAAGACTTAGTTGAAATCCTAGAGCAAGCGCAGTTTGATGACGGTGCGATGAGAAAGCTGTCACAACTTCTTGCGGTAGACTCAACCCAAGTGGTAGCAAGCGTACAGCGCATCTTCGGGTTAGGGGTCGACAACTCGCAAGTAGAACAGCCGCGTACAGATGGAGAAGAATTAAGAGCTAGAGCTACTGTACATATTCTTCAGAGCCGTGGCGAGGGACAGTCGAGTGACAGCGCACCACCCAATTTTCAAGACGCGCTGAAGCAGTTACGTACCAATGAAGTCCCTAAAGACTTGCAGCTGGCCGAATTTGACCCAATCGCGGCCGCAAGAGGTGATTATTCGCGCGATAGAATCGCGCCAGTAACACAAAATAGGCGTTATATATTGCCACAGAGACAAATGATTCCTCATTTGCAGAGAGAGCAGCCCGCGAGAGAGCCGCCAAAGCTGCCGGAATCCCTCTCCAAGAAGTCGAGGAGGATTTGCCAAGGTAGGAATGATACACTTACTTCTGAAATGGGGTTGACAAGTGTAGTATGTTCCGCGTTCACCGCGATGGCTCTGCCAGAGGTCCCAGTATTTGAGAACGGGCAAGAAAAAGGGTTTGACAAATTTCTGCGCTCTTTTATGATCAAATATGGGAGATTAAACTTGGGGGATGAAATGCTCATCCACTTGTTGTGCTCGAAGTTATCGGGACAACCTCGGGTGGTGGTGGAGACTCTTCCCCTGGAGGTTCGGGAGGGAACGTTCCAAGAATTTGTGGCTGCGTTAACAGCCAAATTCAAGGAAAACGAGTCTGCCAACAGGATGGAGGCATACATTAGCCTCAAAAACATCCTTTACTCTGGGAGTATCTCAGAGTACTGTGTTCGGCTAGAACAGCTGACAAGGGCAGCCTACCCCGAATCGTCGGAGAGGAAGCTTTCCATTCTGCGCACTGAAGAGCTGATCGCACAACTCACTGATTGGCCGGAGTACGTTCAACTGTACACGGAGGTAGAACAGACTCCTGCGGAGGAGGCTTATGAGAAGCTAAAGGCCCTGGCACAGCGAATTGAGAGAAGTAGGGAAGTGGCACTACACTTGAAGCACGAGGCCACGAATAAGCTGAGACGTGTTCCCCTCGGGATAAAAGGACGCCAGACGCCACAAGGGAGGAAGTACTCGATTCGTCCTGAGATAGAGCAAAGAAATAAGGACCACTCAGAACGGTCGAACCTGAGCCGGAACGGACAGCAAGAAGTATCGAAGAGTCGAGAATTGCTGTGCCACAACTGCAAAAAGCCCGGACATTTCAGAAGGGACTGCAAGGAACCTTCACAGATACAGCATACTTCCAGAATTTCAAGGGAAGTCTCACAAGGAGGCAAGAACAATGCCACGAATGAACGGGGTGCAGGATCTTTCTCTGCTGTGCTACGGCACTGGGCATGTACAACAATCGCAAAGAAGAACGCTAGTGACCTGGTAGGCAGTCAGACACTAGAAACGGTGAAGTTTCTTGGACTGCAAAGGGAGGCACTAGTGGATTCTGGATCTCAGATTAGTATCATGCCGCTGGAGCTCCTGTTGACAGCTCAGGAAAGGGGATTCGACATAGACGAAGACGTGGAACAGATCCCGCAGAGGGAATATCAATCAGTCTATGATGCTTCAGGCAATTTGATGACCTTTAAAGGTGCGATTCGTCTAACCCTAGAAATAGACAATGGACCTCAATGCCGAGCTGCCTTCTTCGTCATGAAAGGAGGTGATGACAGGATAGTGCTGGGAACAAACATCCTAAACGCACTCGGCTTCTCGGTCTGCAGGGAAGGTAAGTCCTGCAGGTGTCCAAGAAAGCGAACAAACCAACAAAGGGTCGAAAGATGGAATAACAAGCATTCCAGGAAACGCATTAAGGCTAAGGAAGGGCAGCATGCCAAAGTAGCCGCACTCTACATCAGACCTGGCGAAACTAAAGGACTGGAACTGACAAGCACCTCGACCGAACAAACACAAGTTTTGTGGTCTAGCGATAGCTTAGTTCCTAATGCAGTATGCGACACTGCGAACGGGGCAGTGAAGATCCCCGTCACCAATTCATCGGCAGAACCAAGGATATACCGGGTCGGTGAGATAGTGGGTGAGTGGGGAAAGACCAAATTGGCGGAAGAAGCCCCCTTCACTATGCTAATATGCTAGAGCGGACGACAACACCTCCACCGGCGAGGAAAGCTCGTCTTCTAAAACTGCTAAGAGAAAAGAAAACTGAGCAAGGTGAGGACAAGGCTTGGGAAAAGCTAGTGGAAAAGAACAGCGATGTGTTTGCTATCACAGACCAGGAGCTCACGCAGACCTCGCTTGTAGAGCATGATATTGACACAGGCTCATCACAGCCGATACGCCAAAAGCCAAGACCAATTCCTTTGGGAACGAGAGCAGCGCTAAGGCAAATCCTCACCGATCTTCAGGAAAGAAATATAATTCAACCCAGTCATTCAAGTTGAGCCGCTCCCATAGTACTGGTACAGAAAAAGGACGGCAAATTGAGATTATGCGTGGATTATCGAAAATTGAATCAAGTCACAAAAGTGGATAGCTATCCCTTGCCGCGGATTGATACAATTCTCCAAAACCTCAAGGGAAAGAAGTATTTTTCAACTCTGGATCTTGCCTCGGGATATTGGCAAATAAAATTGACAAGTAATGCACGCGAAAAGAGTGCATTCGTTACGACGGAAGGACTGCACGAGTTTAACGTGCTGCCATTTGGATTGGCATCATCCCCTCCAGTTTTCCAACGGCTAATGAATGCAGTCCTCGGTCATCTTCTAGGTGACGAAGTAGCTTGCTATCTGGATGACGTAGTGGTAGCAACAGCGACAGCAGAGCGTCACATAGAAAGATTAGAAGAAATTTTTCAAGCTTTTTGCAAAGCAAACTTGAAGCTCAATCCAAGGAAGTGCACCTTGTTAGAGCACACAGTCGAATTCCTAGGTCATCTTGTAGATGCAGAAGGAATACACATGGACCCGAAGAAGGTCTCTGCAATCGTGGAGTACCCGTTACCTCAAAGCCGTAGCGAGCTAAGCTTATTAGCTCGCTACGGCTTTGAGGTAACGGGTACTTATAGCTTACTTTATTGGTATGTGCTCCTACTATAGGAAATTTGTCCTTGGCTTTGCGAAAGTTGCTGCGCCTTTGCATGAGCTAACCTCTGAAAAACAGCCTTTTGAATGGACACCAGAACGATTGCAGGCTTTCGAATTATTGAAAAAAGTGATAACATCGGCTCCGGTGTTAACACAGCCAGACATTGAGGGGGCGCGAAGTGGCGAAAAACCATTTCAAATCCATACTGACGCCAGCTATTCGGGATTAGGAGCAGTTCTCAGTCAGAAGGGTGATGATGGTCTGCTTCATCCAATTTACTTTGCGTCAAAAGGGCTGACTAAAAGCGAGCGTAATTACCATATCACAGATCTGGAAGCTCTCGCCGTAATCTTTGCACTAAGGCGATTTCACATGTTCGTATATGGACTAAGTGTAGAAGTATGTACAGACCACCAACCACTTACATCCTTGTTTACTAGAGCTAATGTCTCAGCAAGGGTACTACGATGGGCGCTCGAGTTACAAAAGTATAACCTCAAGATGGTTTACTTAAAAGGAGCGGCAAACAGGGTCGCGGATGCCTTGAGTCGAGGCGCTGCGCAGGCCCAGGATGGAGACCAGGATGAGAGTCTGGCAAACGGGCTCATTGTAGCAGCAGTCACCGAAGAACCTGAGTGGACAGTGGAGCTCAGGCGAGACCCACTCTACGGGGGTATCATGCAAGCATTGGAGCAAGGGAAGGAACCACCTTCGAGGAAAATTCTGAGGAACTACACTGTCTCAGATTTCACCCTATCACAGGGCTATTTGTGCCTCGTGGGGAAGGATGGTTATAGAAGAGTGGTACCAAAGGAGCGCCGCAAAGAAGTGTTTTTGGAAGCTCATTCATCGTTGCTGGCAGGACATTTTGGTCCCCGGAAACTGATGAGAGAGTTGTCCAAAAAGTTCTTCTGGGATAGTATGCATAAGGACATACTTGAATGGGCGGAAGAGTGTAAAATGTGCACTCTATACAACCACAAACCCAAAATGACTCCACCCCTGAAACCTATAGCTGTCTCCAAACCATACGAGATCATTGGCATCGACATACTGGAAATGGGATTAACCACCAGTGGAAATCGCTACATTCTAAGTGTCATAGACCACTTTACAAAGTATGGAGGAGCTTACGCTGTATCGTCCAAGTCAGCGGAAGAAGTCACTAGAGTACTATTTGAAAGATGGATAGCAGAAGGTTGCCGATTCCCTAAATGTATCCTGTCTGATCAGGGAGGGGAGTTTGACAACAAGATGCTGAATGAGTTGTCCAAAACTTTAGGGATGAACCAAACATTCACTAAAGGTTACGATCCCAGAGAGAATGGGTTGACAGAGCGATTTAACAAAACCATCATACAGTTGCTGAGAAAGAAGGTAGAGATTCCGGTGGAGTGGGACAAGATGCTTCCATACTGTGTGTTAGCATATAACACTGCTATACACGAGTCCACTGGTGAATCACCATTCTTTCTACTCCATGGGTTCGATCCTTATGTTCCCCGAAACAGCGCTGATAATGCAATCACAACTTATATGGTGGACCTGGACAGTTACGTGAACGAGCTTGTGGTGGGGATGCGCATGACTCACGCACTTGTCCGCGAAGAAAACGAAAAGGCTCGGAAAAGGATGAAGCTCGACTACGATCAAAAGCACAAGGTCAACGAGAAACCGTTGACTTTAGGCGACCGGGTATATATGAAGGTACCTATGGAAAAGTCTTCATCTAATCACCCTAAACTAGCTAATGATTGGTCAGGACCCTTTAGAGTGATTGAACTCAGTGATAACAGCGCTTTAATTACGTTGATAAATGCGAATGATGAGCCTAAACGCGTGCCGTTTGATCAGCTCAGGAAAGTGCCCCGAGGTGTAGATAATGAGCCTGTCAAAACAACCAGGGGAAGAGCAAAAAGGGGTAGACCTAAGAAAGTGCCCCGGGGTCTTGAGAATGAACCTGGCAATGTAACGACAACCAAAGCAAAAAGAGGTAGACCGAGAAAAGTCTCGAGTTCTAAAGTTTTGTGTTTCAGAGTCGAAGTTGGAGACCCACGGACGGATCCACTGCATCTCCTACACCCCTGCAGCTGCGGCATTTTCGGAGAGCGTGCACATGTGGCCCTGCCCGGATTGCGATGCCAGTTAGCCAGGTCGAAGAAAGTAAAGAACCTGTTCGAGCTCGCGAATGTTGCTTCAATCGCCATGGAACCCACTTGGGGAGACTGGAGAAAAGAGAACGAGCTCTTGAAGAAGCAGTCCACACACCTGTCGGTCATTGGACTTAGTTGTGCCATCACAGCTCATCGGTCGTTCTGCCATGATTTTGCTATGGCACTTCGCGAGAGAGAAGGACAACGGCTTCACCATCCGGACATTTTCACGCAAAGGACGGATTACGATTTGTCAGCATATTACAATCAAGCACTCGCGAGAAAGGAACAACTCAGTCACTTGGACGGAGACGACATGCCGACGAATTCGATTATTCTAGCCTTGCCGAAGGCTTTCGAGCGTGTGCGGAAGGAGGTTGTCGCGGAAGATTCAGTGAAGTTCGTTGTGTACAACCACCTTGACGACATGGCGGATCAATTGAACAAAATACCCATTAGCGCGGCGATGCTATGGGTTTGGCCGGAGAAAATGCCGAGGTCGGACCAGATGAGAAGGAGCATGCAGGCCGTCGAGAGGCATTTGCAATGCGGTGGAACGTTGGACTGCTTTCCGCCACCTTTCGAGAAGGCCCGCAAGGAAGAGTGGGAGGAACTCCGAAAAGTCTGCGTTGAAGTCGTGCGAATGTTGACTGGACCGGCCAGGGGGTTTGACGCCAAGGTGATAGACCACTATGGACCATTAGAAGATGCAATCCCGAAGCTCCACCTGGCCACATGTTTGGGAATAAGCCCCCGGAAAGGAGAAGATAAGTTGCACGGATGGCAAATTTTAATTTTCCTGGAGCAGTTGCGAGAAGCAGCCTCGAACACGCTACGTCTGCCGACATTCCACATACGGGAGAAGAAGAAGGGAGAGTCAAGCAAGCCGTCGGGAACTGAAGGAGAACCCGATGCGAAAAGGAAGAGGATGAGGAAGCCGGAAATCATGTATCTACGAAACCCCATAGCGAAGCGGATGGAGCAAGCCCCAAATATGAAGCAGCGCGGTCGATACTACGAGCAAGTCCCCGGAGGTGACTTTTCGAGGAGGGGCGTGTAAGGAAGAAGGACCGTTTTGATCTAATAGGTGATCCGATATTGTGATCTGCGCGCGCCAAAGCGCTTGTTGATTGTTTTGTTTTCGTTCGTGATTATTGCCGATATTATTGACGACGAGGAGCGGCGGTGGCCGCATTGTTATTTTCTTTTAATTCTGTTCTTTCTCTTCGTGAGTCTTTTCTTGTACTGCCCACAAGGCAGGCTTCTGCTTTTCCAGTGTTCTTTTTTTTCCGTTAGTAAAGTTTTCGTTATTCTTCTGTCGCAAATCCTTCTACCCACGTGGCCCGCCACCCAAATTCTATTTTTACACTAGAAGATTATGATAGAAAAAAATAGGGAGCGCAAAGAAAAGTGCAGAGATGCATTGCCGAAAAAATACTAGAAATGAAGTGATAGCAGCAATTTTTTATCAAATTTCATCAACTTATGATCATCATCTCCCTTAGAACTGCGCATTATATATCTCAAAAAATATGCACACTGTATTTTTGATAATTCTCCTGCTTCAATATTTTTTGTCGGCTTATAGGAACCATTCTGTATTGCTGGTTGCAGCTAGATTTACAGTGTGAAGGAATCTCCGATCTTTCTTCGAAACTATAGGGTCAGGATGGGTACTTTGGAGAAGATTTTGAGCCATCAAAAGCCATTTTGCCTCAGAAAGAAAGCGAAGCAAGCCGACTCTCATTCTAAGCTAATCCGAGCCGCTGATTCCAGATATAAAACTTGCAAATCACGGTCATGCTTCTGTCATAGGTTATTCCAGGAGCAAGGCATACCAACGCGGGACCGATGCTGGCTGATACAGCCTAAAGCCCTGTAACGGCAACAGATCCGCGCAGGCAGTCGCAGCGATCAGGGTTCTGCACAGGTGGTTTGTAAGCAAGCTGCATATCGTTTTTGGGACAAAAAGCAAAAGGATATCGTTTTTGATGCCGGAAAGACACAAAAAATTGTGAAGTTTTTTTGAGTCGACGTTTCGTTTTTTGAGGTTTTCTCTACGATTAGGGTTCGGGGTCAAAAGGAACTTCGTAAAGTTTTGCGAAAGTCAAGGGGGATTTGTTTTTTGCATTTCTCAAAAGCCACCTCGTGCTGAGCCTTGGCAGCGATTTGCGTGGGAGCTATTTTGTTAGCTCAACGCCGATTCAAGTTTTTTATTGCTTTCCATGTATATATTCCTCATTCTTCTGACAACAGAGTAGCTGGTTTCCTCGGTCTGGCTCGAGGAAGGCCTCAAGTGGTCCGGTAGATCGCACACGTATCCTGGAGCACAAGTATGTCGTTTTTTTCCTCAACCAAATTCGGTAAGTCCGACTTTCTTGCCTCCTTCTACATGCTCCAAAGCCCTTGCCCTCCGTACTTCCCCCTCCCCCCCCCCACCTAACCACTGCTGTGCTACAGGTCTTTCTCTATCAACGGTTTGCCTTGACGACCAGTGCGAAGTGTGAAGCAGAGGTATAGCACTGGTAATGAGATAAAGCCGCAAATTCTTATGCGGCTCTTGGTTTAGGTTTCGAGCGGGGTTTTTGCCATGTGATGAATCCATGGTGCCGTTTTGGAAAACTTCTTACAAGCTTCTTTCAGCATCAAAAAGGCTGTAATGCGCATTTTCAGTACTGCTGAGATAGTTTGCTAAATTAATATCACTCCACTCGCTTCATCTACGTTACAATATGGTTTGATTTTAAGCTGAGCATCTCTGTACATGAATCTTTTCTTTTTTTATACACTGAAGTTGTACTTCGTCTCATCGCTGAGAGTGAAGGTCGCCAGAGTACATCGTTTGTGTTCAAAAGTATGCATATTACCGTCTTCGTCTCTGAGTCTTATTTCTTGCAAAATGTTGAAAACATGCTTTTGATAGAGCTGAATCAAAGCTTTTGAAAAAGGAGAAATATTTGGGCACCTCATTACCTTTCTACTGCATTGTTCGCCGTAGCAACACCAACTTTTGTATCCATCCTTCTCGCCTAATTCTGGAACTTACAACATCGTTAGAAAGACCGACCCATAAATTATGCTCGTCTCACTGTAAAATATTTGTGTCACTTTCAAATTTTATTCAACTCAAGTTCTGTTACAAGGAAATTTGGTTTTCAACAAAAGTGATGGAATGAGCGGCAGAGATTTTGCAGACATTGTTGAATTGGCAGAACAAAAGCCAAGCAACGATTAGCCGACTATGCAAGTAAATGAATGTTATCTACTTGACGACTGGTTGTTCAGTCATGACTCCCTACACACTTTGATAGAAAGTTTCGTGACAAGAGCGAAGAGTGACACACAGTTGACATAGCATTTTCTACTACTTTGAAATCACACACCTAAGTTCTGTTTTCTATTGCAAATATTTGTTTATTCTTTCCAGATATTTGTCATAACTTGTTCAACATTCTTCTTCTCAAAACTCCGCTAACTTTTTAGAATATCGTTTTGGACTCTCAGAAAAGATTTAGACATATCTTGAGCAACACTAAACTGCCTTTGGATTCTTCCTAACAAAATCATTTCTTACCCTTTTCACAAATTTGCGTAGGCTTGGATTTCATGCATGGTTCGGAGGAGTGGCGAAAAGTCGAAACACTAATTTAAAGCAATTCAAACTTGTGTCCTAAAGAAATGTAAAATAGTAAGAAAAATTTAGGCAAAGTTCTGAACAGCAAAAACAGAAACGGGTTTTTCCAGAAAATCGCGTTTTTAATGAAATTATTGGCAGGAAAAAGATAAAAGCTTTTAAAACTTTGCCTAGAAACGGGGACGGAACTTACCTACCCGAAAGGCCTGCCGCGGTGTAATTAGCAGAGTCCATCAGGGGTCATGAACTGGCAGCAGCTGATTTGCACCCAATTTGCACCCACTCAGACAATCACAGGCTCTCAGCCGGCGGCGATAAAGGGCAGTTTCACTGAGCGGGCGGCGATACTGCAAAAGTGGCAGTGAGCGGGCGACGACATTGTAGGAATGGCGGTGAGCGGGCAGCGACGGGCTACCAGCGGGCAGCTATAATCTTCCATGAGTCAGAAGATAGCTGCAGAGCGCATTCATTCCTACAAAAGCAGCCAAAAGGCGACGATGAGGCAGCGACTCCGTTAAGCTGGCAGCGACCGTGAAACGATGGGGCTGCGAATACAAGATTTCTGTCAGCGGGCCGCATCAATGCTATGAGCAGGCAGCCTTAATTCATAACGCCGTATTGTGGCTGCCAAATGGAAGCCCGCTCGAGACATTGTTGATCGCACCAGAAAAGTTAGATGTGCAGGCAAACGAGATTGGCAGCGTGGGCTCGCGTCATTTTTTCATTTCTTGTTGCGTAATCTTTGTTTTCATCTTTGCTTTTCTTTGTTTTCATTTTCGTCATCATTCAGTGCTTTATTTCAAGTACTAGTGAACCAGTACCTATAGGCGCTATTTGGAAGAGCGTTTGCTTCGGGACTCGTCGTGGTTCCCCGCTATTTAAAGATTTTTGAATTGAGCTAACGATTCTTTATATATCAGATTTCTTTTGTTCTCTATGTTTGACTGTCTATCCAACCGGAAGAAGTGCTTAATGAAAGCCCCGTTTGTTTTTGAATCAAAACATCCACTGCGCAATGTAATAATAACTCTTTTTCGATGTACTGCAAAAAAGCATGCGAAAAAGGACATAATTAGTGGGTTTTTAACTTGCACAGAAAAAAAATGCTATACATAAGTGATGATTCATTAAGAACTCGTCCACTATCCAACATTGCTCAAATCCTTTGGGCATGTACTTCGAGGGGAACTACAAGTGTGCAGAAATCTGTAGGCTGGCATTCATAAAGTGCCCCTGTGCTGCCAACAACACCGTGAGCAAATGAAATTGGGCACAAAATTTGAAAATATGCTCCATGGCCATTTCACACGAGCATATTGCTGACACCGCAGGGACATGAACCGCCAAAATCCTACTTTTTCGCTCAACTCTTCCAGAAAAATCGCTCATTATGCGACTACATACATTCGCAACCCCCGTCTGTACATATCTCTTCTTTAGGCGCTGCTCGAAAACCGTAAAAAACCATCTATTCACTCATTTTACGAATGTAAACATAAAAGTGCCTTTCCAACATTTTCGCCGCTGTCACATCATTCGACTACAAGCGTGCTCTCTTTGCGCTCAAAGATCTGCATCATTGCGTTTCGCATGCGTCCATTTTCGAAATGCTTATTGATTAGAGGGCGTCGCTATGCTTTGCTACTTCAATCCTGTGTTTATGATTTTTTCGAGAAAAAACTCTCAGCCTCAGCGGATTACACGCGAAAACATGACCTTTTACGCAACGAACGACCATCACGGCTCACTCCACGCCAGCGTGTTGTACGCAAAGTTCATTGAGTGAGGAAGGATTGATTTGAGGTTTAGTCTGAGTGCCACACACAGCGTAAGTTGTTTTCGTCACACGTGTTTCTACCGATCGGCCTTTTCAAAAAGTAAAATTCTCATTTCGAAGCCAAGTGCATTCATCGAAACACAGTGCGCACCTTTTCAATGATGTACCGTCGGTTCATTTCATATGATCATGTGTGCCATTGCACACACCGTCCATCTTTGGCGTACCCATCCTGGATTCTTGGAGGACGCAACCCTTCCGTTAAGCGATTCTGATGTTTTCTCGCTGTTTTCTTTTCTTTTTAGGTACTATTTATCTCTAAATGATGTAAGCGATAGCAATTGCTCACTCTCTCGCGTTTTTGCGATCGCAAATCCGAGATGGGGACGCCAAAGATGGACGGTGTGTGCGGGTGCACACATGATCATATGAAATGAATCGACTGTACTTGTACAGTGAGCACATAAAAGGTTTACAGTTTTACGGAAAATTGTTTGGCACGCAGTCGTTCGTCAACGCAGCTATCGTCGATTCGTTGACAGTACGGACTGCTGAAGCGCTGCGGACCACATGCGGCGCGGTTAACATGTTGCGAGAGCACGAACAATGGCGATCTTGTATTGGAGCAAGCGTTTTACCTCGCGGCGCGTGCTCCGCGGTTATGTCCAGTCCGCGCAGTCAACAAATCGACGATAGTTATTTACAGCTGTGATGTGGAACTAGTTTCTGTCTCTTTTTATCGTCAAGGCTTGATAAAGTCTCCCTACCTTCTAGAAATGAAATTAGGGCTTTTCATACTTCCACTAATTGCTGTACCATATTTGTCTTGCGTTTCTCTCTGTCTAATGTCTGTCTTTGATGTATATCTATATATTTCCAACTACTCTCTCTTTTGCAGGCATTTCATGATGTTTGTAATCGTAGTCAATTACAGCTTCTCTTAGACGCATTCAGCATTTGTCATGTATGAAGCATCTTTCATGAAGTTACTTCCTCCTTGGTGAAATGAACAAAGCGTAGGCTTAGTATATGCATTGATTGAGTTCGGCAGGTGCGATGAGCTCATGATTCGTAATTGCTTTGAAGGTGTCGTGACGAGCCAAGTCCTTTTAGCTGGGTAGAGATCATTGTTTACTGTTGAACAAGAGTCTATCTCTTGTACAAACAAGCTGCTAAGATGCTGAAACGTGACCTTATCTCCGTAATGTTCTCTTCTAATTTCATCCTTTAGGAGCAACTGAACATGGTCACGAATCAACGCGAGACGCTGCAGTCACCGACGAAGACGCACACAATTCTAGAGGAAGTGTTGCACAACATAAGGAAAATGGGTTTGGATCAGAACTGACAGTTGCCTGAACGATACTCAGGCGCGAATGGATTGTTGATTCGCATGAGAAACCCCTGCATTGCGCGCTAACACTGGCAGTTCCTCACTCATGTTTGTGAATATATTTATCGCGGTGGAATGTGTATTGCTTTGTCGCCGCTCCCCATATGGATCGTTTTATCAATGTTTGTACCCTCAAGGTCTATTATCAGCATATTTTCTGTTCTAAAGAACGTAAATCTAAGCTAATCTAAGCTAACCTTTAAGCTTTTGGGCTACCGACACATCCTATCTTTGAAGAAAGCGGGAAGCGGCAGTGAGGCGATAAGGCACGGAGCTTTTGGTGGGTTTTCGCGGTGGCTTTGTGGCTGCCGGCTGAAAATCTTGTCTGTGTAGCTTCTTGTTATGCTTGCACTACAACATTGTAACTTCAGTTAATTCATTATAACGATGGCAAGTAACAATGAAGAACATAACCATCTGGGGCCATATCTATTTCTCCATGTGGTCATATCTCCAGATGGTTATGTTCTTCATTGTTACTTGTCATCATTATAATGAATTAATTGAAGTTAAAAACGTTGTAGTCCAAGCATAACAAGAAGCTACACAGACAAGATTTTCAGCCGGCAGCCACAAAGCCACCGCGAAAACCCACCAAAAGCGCCGTGGCCTTATGGCCTCACTGCCGCTTCCCGCTGAGAACTGTAGAAGCGAGCGGGCTACAAATATAGCAATGAGCGGGAGGCTAAAGCTGGCAGCGGGCGGACTGCTATGAGGGCTTCAGCGGGAAGCGAAAGTGGGCGCGATGAGGCCACCGCGCTTTTGGTGGGTTTTCGCGGTGGCTTTGTGGCCGCCGGCTGAGAGCCTGTGATTGTCTAAGCAAGACCAGCTGATTCTGCACACGGTAACTCCGCAGCATCCACAGTTTATGAAGCCGGAATTTTGTTGTTAGGACAAAACTCTGTAGCTAAGGGTATTCTCTCATGCTGTTTCCGAATATGATGGTGATTTTGCTAACCTTAAATTTTTATCTTTTCTAAATTTGAACTTGTTTTCACAATTTTTCAAAATTGCTGTTAAAGGCACTGCCCATCCAGATCCTCGACTTCCATGTTTTTGCCGTTCCGGGGCATTCTCATGTCCCTGATTCCGAATATCAGGTCGAGAATCCGCGAAAACCCCGACAAACCCGTTTGGAGAACCCGCAGGGAGAGTTGTGCGGAACGGTGATTGCTCGGGCGCGCACGAGTGGGCGGGACGAACGTCTTCCACTGCAAATTCGGTAAAAAGT